TCCTTACCTGAGGAGGTTGTAAAGGCTAGGACTATAACAGCGTTTAAAAGAGAACTGGATAAATTCATGGAGGTTAAGTCCATTCATGGCTATTAGCCAGGATGGGTAAGGAATGGTGTCCCTAGCCTCTGTTTGTCAGAGGGTGGAGATGGATGGCAGGAGAGAGATCACTTGATCATTGCCTGTTAGGTCCATTTCGTTTGGGGCACCTGGCATTGGCCACTGTCGGTAGACAGGATACTGGGCTAGATGGACCTTTGGTCTGTCCCGGTACGGCCGTTCTTATGATGGACCCTATTGCAATGTGTAGACAGGCAGTGGGGTGAAGGGTGCTGTTGCTTTCTCCTTCCAACTGCTCAGGTGCTTCTTCAGTCCCCATTGCATTGGTTTTCGCCTTACTGATTTTTAATACGTTTACACTAATCGGGAAGCAGAGCCTTCACTCTCACCCAAAAGACGCTGTTAACTCTTGCAATCGTGTCTTGAGTCTTGGGATATTGGGTGTTTTTCAAGACCCATCTCCTAGAGGCAACTGATTACAGGAGGCTCTAAGCTTTAGTTTAAACCCTTCCCCCTCCCCCCCATTTCTGTTCCTTGTGGAGAAAAACTTGAAAATGTGACCAAGTGTAACCTAAAATCTCAAGTATCAGAGGGGTAGCCATGTTAGTCTGTATCCACAAAACTAACCAGGAGTCCGGTGGCATCTTAAAGACTAACAGATTTATTTGGGCATAAGCTTTTGTAGGTAAAAAACCCACTTCTTCAGATGCATGGAGTGAAAAATACAGCCTGTAATTTTCACTCCATGCATCTGAAGAAGTGTGTTTTCTACCTATGAAAGCTTATGCCCAAATAAACTTGTTAGTCTTTAAGGTGCTAAAATCTCAGAAGGCCAAAAAGAAGAACCCAACATTTATTAGTTTTTAAATCATGATTTTGAGGGGCCTGACTCACGATTTTTGAACCTGTGGCATTGGCAGTGATGCAAGTATCTCTTTTGTGTGGCTACATCACATGGGTGGAGTCCCCCCTGTACAGAGACTGCTCAAGGCTTCTGTCCCATAGTGGTTACCCCATTTCAGCTTCTTTTGGCCTGACTCTTATCTCATGTAGGGCAGTGTTACTCCTTTGACTTCAATGGAGTTACTGTTGATTTACACCACTATGAGTGAGAGTAGTCTCAGGGCCTGTGTTTTCCTAACAGATTTTCCTCAAAGCAGGCATGTCTGTCGTTCCTCACAATACCCCTTTCCTACCAAAGCCTTCCTTTTGATAACACTCTGTGCCTCTCTGGCTGCTAAATTTAATCCATCCTCTGGATCATCATTTCTATTTTGGATACTGTGTTTTAAAAACTGATTTTGTGATTGATGAGAACTAAAGGCAAAGTTTAAGAATATAAGGGTGCCTTATTTACTTGAGCAATACAATTAGTAAACAAAAAAATACCCATTGCCAATGTCATAAAAGCATAACATAAGAGTGGCCCTACTGGGTCAGACCAATGGTCCGTCTAGCCCAGTGTCCTGTCTTCTGACAGTGGCCAGTGCCAGATGCTTCAGGCAGTTGGGGGTTTATGGACATCCGGTGTATAGGGCTGCATCCTTTGGCCATCTTGGCTATAGCCATTGATGGACCTATCCTCCATGAACTTACCTAATTTTTTTAACCTAGCTATAATCTTGGCCTTCACACTGTCCACTGGCAATGAGTTCCAAAGGTTTACTGTGTGGTGTGTGAAGAAGTACTTCCTTTGTTTTAAACCTGGTGTGGATTATCTCCTATCCCCCCAGCACAGTGTGGTGCTAACGATGGAACTGAGCCCATTACAATCGGGGAGAGGGAACAGGGAATTTACCTGTCAGCTCTCAGAAGGAAAATGCAGGTAACTCACAGCATCCAAAAATGGGTTGGCGCTGAGGAGGGGAGACAAAAGGCCTAGAGTTATTTTAGATTCTTTTAAACACCCTCCCTAAGTCACTTTCCAACAACTTTGCATTACAAATATCTTCAGCCCCTTTTCTCCTCCCTCCCTGTGGGTTTTACTGCAGGCCCAGTAGCCCAAGCACCACTCCCTGTTTTGTTCTGGTCCCAGACCTGGTTTCCTGGGGGACAATTTGGTACTGGCTGGAACCCCCCCCCTAGGGTGACCAGATAGCAAGTGTGAAAAATCGGGACGGGAGTGGGGGGTAATTGGTACCTATATAAGAAAAAGCCCCAAATATCTGGACTGTCCCTATAAAATCGGGACATCTGGTCCACCCTACCCCCCCCCCCCCGACCAAGGCAGCCCCCGGAGGGAGCTCGGGGTCACCTGAGATGGGGCCCATGGCACTGGCTAGTTGAGGGCGGTCAGTGCTTTGTCCCACGCATGTGCCGTGGACTAGGGGCAAGTGCCCTGCGGT